GGGACAATCACGTCGCTCTAGTCAACTGTCATACCCAGAATTCTCACATACTCGTTGGTCAATGTATTTCATGATATTTTAGTATCATGCATATGATAATGAACACTTAGTCATTTTATATGCAGTTATTTGTCATAATGGTGTGAATTGTAATATGAAGTGAATTATATGTTTGATATGTTCATTATATAGGCGAATGACTCGGGGTTGCCCAAGAGAAGGATTCCGGTAAGTTGGAAAATGGACAACAACTTGTTCTAAATGATATTTACAAGAATTCCTAAGTGAAAAGTAAAATATGGAGTCTTAATGGGGCTTTAAGGCACGTTTAATGAAAATATACGTGTTGGTGTGATGTGTGAAAAGGTTTGGACTGTGCCAAAGAGACTACTTAAGGTGATTCTAAGGTTGAAATAATGTTAAGAAAGGGATGATGTTAAGGGTTTAATGATTGTGTTACTTTAGAAGCCCTAAATTAAGCATATTTTGGTATTCGAGTTTGTGGAATCAAATTGAGATTTTATTAAGGTTCTAAAGGAATTGTGGATCCTAATAATTAGGGTAAGAATGAAATAGAAATTGATTATGTTAGATGTTTAAAATTGAATGAAAAGTATAGGAGATGTAAAGTTAGGATTTGTCACGTACCAAAATTTCAGTGCAAGCTCATACACTAAATTTAGTTGGCCAAATGATTGGCTAAGACCTTGTTCATACTTTGGGAATTTGTGTGAGTGTTGTGTGCAAGAGAAGGCGGTGAGAGAAAGCTGCTTAAGGTGATATTAGATTAGAGGAAAGGAGAGTACTTCATGGTTAAGTAATTAAGGTGCCTACTTGTATCTTTAAAGTATTAAGCAAGGAGGTGAAGAAAAATCAGCCCCAAAACCTTCTAGTTCGACCCTCCTCTGGTTCCAAAGTGCTTCTCCAGCCATTTCTTAAGAAAACCAAAGCAATTCCAAGTGGTTTGATGAAGGATTGATCATAGGAACACTAAGAGATTGAAACTAGTGTAAGGTAAGGTGCATTTTGTGATTCTAGTTTAGTTTCTCTCAAGATTGATGATAAGTCCGTACTCTAATCCTTTGAGATTGTTTTAGGATCTGCTCCAAGAGTTTATAAGAGGTTTAGGAACTAATCATTTGAATTGGAGGTGGGAGACTCAAAAGAAAACCTAAACTAGATCAAGGTAAGGGACAGTTTTGGTTTGGTTTTGTTTTGATAATGATTCAGCTGGTTTTATTTATAGTTAGGCCATGATTTATTAGATATGAGATCTTTGATATGTTAGATTTAAGCCTCTAAAAAAGATTGGAGCTAACTCAATTGGAAAATGGTGGTTTAAAGCTTGTTTTCTTGGAGCTGTCCAGATTCAAGTCAGTTTTCATTATGCTTCATGTTTTTATTTATTTACCTAGCCTATGAAGCACAAATGAAGCTGAAAGTTTGAGGATAACTCACTTTATATGTTGAATAAATGCTCCCAAAACAATTTTGGAAATGTCCTTGTGGTTTGGGAGTTATGGTTTTAAAATTAGGGCTGGTTCCTGAGAATTTTGGTGGTTTTGTGATAATTTTCTAATTTAGGGTTATTTTGTGATATTAATTTATTTTAGGAGATTAAAGGTATTTTAACCTTTGGGGAGTGTTAAAATGTAGGAGAATCTCTGGCAAAATTTTTAAAAATGGTTTGGAGGGGTTTAGAGGCCATTTGGGCCATTTTAGGGTGGCTAGGCACACCATGCTACATGCTATGGACGCCCAGCATGCTGCAGCAGGCCCTGGGAGCGTACCAATGGGGCGCTGGCAGCCCCTGTGAGCGCAGTATGGGACGCTGGCAGCCCTGTACGTCCTGCACACGCTGTGTAGCCATGTGCGTCCTGTGTGCGCACGGTTGGTGCCTTGGTGCCCACCTGCGCACATTGTTGAGCCAAGTGTACGCCAAAATTGGATTTTTGACCCGTTTTTTTTATTTTTAGTCATTTTAAGCTGCTCTAAGTTTGAATTGGACATTTTTGACATATCTTACTAAAATTTACTATTTTCACCTAAATGACTCTTTTTAATGGAATATTTTAAAGTAAAATCTTTAAGTTATGGAAAATTTGGAAAAAGGGTGTTTAAGAGGTTTTAAATGAAAAGTGTAATTTTTTTAGCCATTTTAGGCTATAGTTTAAGTTATTTTAGAAGGAATAAAGTCATTAATCACAAAACTAATGATAATACATTTAAATACCCAACATTACAATTGTTCACATCAGATCCACCAAGAGGAACCCCGAAGTAATACTGTCTGTCATACGGTGCGAGGTAAGTAGAATATCACCTGTATCACCATAATAATTGTGCATAGTACATTTGTGATACTTGATTATGTGATGTATATGTATAATGCATAAAGTATGTACATGGTACAAAATACAAGAAAATGTTATATAAGGAATGAGTTGATAAACATTCACCAAAGTAATAGAAGGAGTGATAATTCATAGTGATTAGTAATGAGGCTAAAACAATCATGATGGGGATAGTAAGGACCATTAAGTCTCTAGGAGACATATGATATTTACTTGGCCACAAGGTCTGGGACCACTAAGTCATTTATTTGGCCACAAGGTCTGGGACCACTAAGTCTCTGGGAGACATATGCTAATCATCGCGAAAGCCATAAAGTCTGGGACCACTAAGTCTCTGGGAGACACATGATGCTATTAATAATGGCCACAAGGTCTAAAAAAAGAGAAAATGATATAGCCACGATAATTGTGCATACAAGTGATGAAATAAAAAGATAACAAAGTGAATACTTAATGTTATATGAAATGGAAATGGAAGAATAAGAAAGGTTGAAGTTAAGATGTGATGTTATATGTTCAAATTACTTATTCATGCATTTATTCTACTTACAGGGCTTTAGCTCACTTATTTATGGTGATGCAGATGAAGACACATCCCGGCATTAGATGTACATTGTTTTGGTGGTTCGTTGGCGTCATCCTTAGTATTAGGACTTTTGTATATGGACGATGCTGACCTGTTTGAGGTCCTGATTTACTAACTATTTACTATGCTTTTGTTTTTGTTTGTAAGAACTGTCGAATCTATTTTTGGAATATGTATTATACTGTAAATATCGGACATCAGCCAAAAGAAATACTAAAATCATGTTTTTATACCATTGCGCAAAGAATGTCTTAAAAAGTTCAAATTTGTCCCACATTTTAATGTTACCAATATAAAGAAAGCTCAAGGTAAGTTAAAAACAAGTCTTAAAAGAGTAACGAAACCTACAATAACTTGGTAATTTTAAGGTTAGACTAGGTGGGTGTTACATCAACCGTCACATCCTCTGACGCGTTCTCACACGTGGTAGTTGAGGATTTAATTTTGGCCGTTAGATCATTTCCCATTCTTCCTACACTTTTTTGAGCCGTTAGATCGCGTCCTTTCAAATTCCACCATTATATGAGAATCTTTTCAATCCTACGGTCAAGATTTAGAGCCCCTAGCGAGACTCTACCATTTTTACTCTAGAATTCTGAAAAAACCTCTGAAAGTTGCAACTTTTCCTTTCCGATCTCAGCTTTTGCACATTGCTTCTAATTTCTTCACCAGAATACTATGATCCTCGAGCTCTAATTCCCATTACTGGTAAGTTTCTAAACTTCTCTCTCCCTTTTTCCTTTATGCTGAACTGGTTTTAAACCTTTTTAATCCTAAATTATATGAGATAAGCATCATATTTCATCCCCATATAGGGATTTTCGTAGCTTCGTAGCTCTATATTTAATTATTTAAACATATGATTGTAGATGGTAATCTATATTTGATCTTCTATTTAAATTTAAATGGGAGATGAGGGTTATCATCTCCTGATTTTGTGGGTTTTGGGTTAATCTTTGCTTTATCCCGGACTTGTCGACTCTTTTGAGACTTTTCGATCGCAATCACTCAGCTGCATAAGAGTTCCTCCAAGATCTTTCCTTAATCGATACCTCTCGACGGCTAAGCTCAATACTGACTTTTGGAATCCTCGACGACTTTTATTTAGAGGAGTGGTCAGAAATCTCAACCATGGTGCAACATCTTTCAAGGAAATTTGAAGAAATTTTTCAAGGCACGACATTTATCTTTATTTTAACGGAAGGATGTAATAAAAACAATAAAAGCCCCTTTAAAAAATTAAGAACAATAATTTTTTTTTTTTTTTTTTTTTTTTGCTAAATGCCCAAAATAGTTGTTATAAAGCTTCTGGATCTTGAGGTCATGACCTTAATTTTTAGTGTAAACAGTAAACTCATATTCGGCAATAATAATAATATTATAATACTTAGAACTTTCCAAATTTCGGCTGAGTTTGAGGACAAAAACTTTTGACGAAATTGATTTTATAATTCTAGAGTATATGATTAACACATACCGACCGACGACCAATAACTAAAATTGTTCGTGTATTATTTTGCTTTGGTAATGACGTGACGTCGAATGATATTAAGCCGCTAGTTGTAGTTTTCCAAATTAATAAACTTCCTCATTACACTAGATATTAGAAAATCCTATCTTGTTAACCATACAATATTATTATATATATCACATTAGCTACAAGTTGGTTTGTTTAATTGTCGTAATCTAGGCATGTAATTCAACAGTTGTTAACCTACTCAAATTATTATAGTGTTAAACCTAGCATTTGAAGAATACAATAATATATGTTGGATAATAACGGAATTGTTTTAAGTGCGAGTTCGTGAATCACATGTCACAAATTCAACGGCCCTCATTTGAACATTTCTCCAACAAGCTCCACAACCAACCAAAGATCTAAATTATTGCTTTCAATCGGAAAGCAATACAAACAAAAACGGTTGCAGCCTTTCTGTCCGTCATTAGCAACCAACTTGAGCCATCAACTTGTCCTATAGTGGTTTTGAAATCCAATAACGACATAAAAAATTTCATTCTTTCCTTAATTTGTTTTTTCCGTTACGTTCTTGCTCAAGATATTTGATTAAAGGAAAACTGTGTCCAATTAATAACACACCGTTTGGACTTTCGATGGTAAAATTTCTATTATTTTTTTTTTTCGATTTTGTTCTAAATATTTGAAAAAGGAAATTGTTTCTCAGATTTCCATCCACCGCCCAATAACCCTCACCCTTTTTTTTCACATTTCCTCCTCCCCCAATTTTCCCTCTGTACACTACCAAAATTATTTCCATTGCTATTTATATTTGGAAAAAAAAAAAACCGAAAGAAACGGAAATTTTAATAACAAAGATCAGCTCCTGCATTGGCCTAGCTCATTGCTCTGCAATTTGATCATGGCGATCAAATTCATCTTTTTTCTTTTCCTTTTTTTTTTTTTGGTTTCAGTTTCAGCTACTCGATCTTGCTAACTCCGATGCGCTTAATCACGGCGTTCCTAACAGCTTCAGTGTGCAAATACAGACCATTCTGCTCAATCCCAGACATGTAGTTTCTCACTTCCTTTCTGATCATCTCTTGCATCACAGCCAGAAACTCTGCACTGAAGAACGGCTTCTCATACCCAAACTGACCGCTCTGATTCCCCTCCACCGCAAAACTTCCTTCTCCTCGCAACATCAACGCCTCAGGTATCGGCGGCACTGCTACAGCCTGTGGAACCGCAGTATTCCGATTGCGATTCGATACTTCCGAGGAATCGGGAGACGGAAGCGAGAGACTGAGCGAGGTCGGCGGATCAGCGGCGGCGGAGGACGATGTGTCAACCTGCTGTGGAATCGTCGGAGAAACCGGTCCTGTTCTCGGAACCGATCTGAAAACTTGCGAAAGAGAAACGCCGCCAGGCAAGCTCGAATCGCTAAGGTCGGATCCGGAAGGGCTACCGGGGTTACCGGCGCCGAGGCTGGCGGATCTCTTGAGAGGAGGGCAGTCGTTAGGCTCGCCGTTGAAGTCCTCCGAGAGGGAGGAGCATTTCCGCTTGAGCGTGGAGTTCCAGTGGTTCTTAATGGCGTTGTCGGTCCGGCCGTTGAGGAGGCGAGCGATGGTAGCCCACTTGTTGCCATACGTGGCGTGGGCTCTGATGATGGTGTCGTCCTCTTCGGGGCTGAAAGGCCGGTGCTCGACCTCCGGCGATAGCTGGTTGCACCACCGCAGACGGCAAGACTTGCCGGATCGGCCGGGAATCGATTTGCTGATCAGAGACCAGTTTCTTGGGCCGTAGTTCTGGACCAGCCTCCGTAACGCCTCGTCCTCTTCTGGGCTCCATGGACCTTTTATCCGATCCAAGTTTTTCCTCGTCGAATCCATCTCAAAAAAAACTATAATTACAACGCGATGAACTAAGATAGAAATTTAAAAAGAAAAAAAAAAGATGATAAAAAAGACTAGTTTTAGTGTTTTTGGGAAAATTTGTACAGGAAAGGGAAAAATGAAAGGGCTTAGCAGTAGTGGTGGTGGAGGCGGAGCCTCACCTTGGTATGAGAGAGCGGAGATGTTACAGGACTGGAGGAAGGTATAAATATGTGGAAAGAGAAGGGGTAACCGGTTGAGCCGGTTGAGGTAATCGGTCATAGCCGTTGAGACTAAGGTGGATTCTTCCGGGCAAGGCAGTTACTACCAATACAGCTGTCAACCTTACACGCATTGCTTTCGCTTGGCAGCCCTTCTTCTAACTCACACGTATATGAATATAATAAATATGAAAATATATACAATCACTCCCTCAGCCCATTTTTTACCTTTGAAAATAATAATTAATAATATTTTAAATAAATGAATGAGGCTTTGTCTACTGTTCCAACTGTACGCGGCCCTCTGCATCATCAAGCGGGGCCTTTCCTAGACAATCGGACGTACCCAAATTCATCCCAATTTAATGATTGTTTGATGTATCAATCTATTGACCATCAAAAAAAAAAGAAGGAAAAATAAATAAAATAATCTAAAAAGCATCCTCGGTGCATAGCATAATTATTTGTAGGAGCTAGATACAAATAGAGTAACAGACACAATCAAACAGAAAACTAAAGGTGATGTCCTCTTGCTTATATTATTTTCTAAGTTTCATTTTTCATTTTTCTTTCTTGTTTTAATTTCTTAATTGGAAAGCTACGCAAAGAAATAGCAAAACTTTAATGACGGATGAAGAAGCCGTTTTAGAAGTTAAGAAGCACTTTGGGGGAGCTTGAATTCAAACCAAACGTGGTGTTTGTTATTAATATTATGGAATCGCCAAACGAATTTGAAACTAAAAAAGAAAAGGAAAAAAATGAAAAAAGGAAAAAAAAAAAAAACGTAAAAAAAGGAGGATACGGTTGGGGATGGAGGCGAAAGGAAAGAGTTGATAGGAGCGAACGACTTTGACCAAAAGCCAGCCTGGATAGCATTTGAGTGGGGAGGATATTTATAATATTTTGGGTAAGTGGGAAAAGGACGCGCGGAAGTGCTGAGCTGGGCACAAAACGACAAAAAAGAGTAGCAGAATCGGGGGACGAACGGCACTCGAATTCCGTCAGTACAGCCTGTAAAAAGCCCAGCCCCACCCGACACTCGAGTACCAATCCTTAACGGCCTACTCTCCACCTACACGTGTCAGTCACGCTCCTTTCCGGAAACGGCCAAAACCGACTCCACCGTCTAGACTAGAGTTTTTGGACTAGTCACTAGACCCACCTTCTCACACCTTCCTTTCCTTCTCATGCTACATATATTTCAGTACCATTCCACTGTCCAGCTTCAATTATTGCATCTTGATTTTTTTTTTTTTCCTATTTTGGTGCAAAATTGTATTTGATATGTACTTCTTCTGTTGTCATATAATCTAGAGTTTCACAGGAAAACATTTTGCTAATTTTATTTTATGTAGGGTAGCATCATATTCCAACTTTCTTCAAAAGTTTTCTGCCGTTACATTTATTTTGGAATCAATATTTCATACTTTCATACAACTCAGTTGTGTTAAAAAAAACAAATCACATGAAAGAACAGTTACATTGATATTAAAGTTGATCATTAATCTTCTTGCGAGGAATTTTTTCGCGCATAGAGAATGCAACACTTAGGGCGTATTTAGAAACTCGTTTTAAAATTATTTTATTTTTTATATGAAAACAAAAATTAAAACGTTTTTAATCTCTGATATAAATTATTTTTGAAAATGAATTTGGTAATTTTATTAAAATATTATTTTCAGTATAAAAAAAACTCATTAATGTCTCTCTCTGCTTGAGAGAGGAGAAAACAAAAATAAAAAATGAAAAACGATTAAAATTTATTTTTTATTTATCTTCCATTTTAGACTAAATTAAAAAATCGTTTTCATTTCTGCTTTTTATTTTTAATTGTGTCAAACACTGTTTTAAAATTATTTTCATTTTTTTTTTTCAAAAAACGTGAAAAACAAAAATAAAAACAAAAATAACTCCAAATACAACATTATTCTCTTTATATCAGAGATTAAATCCCTTAAGATCAAAGAATAAAACCATCGACATATAAGAGATCATAGTTGAATTTAGAGATACTATCTAGATAGCATATATTGAAATATATCTAGATGGTTTACGTCAAACTAATCAAGAGATTGAGATCGAAAAACTCAAGGCCCAATTTTGAGTTAATCATCCGTGTGAAATTCAACCTTGCTATTGTATTAAGACCTAACCTAGAGGTTTTTTTTTTTTTTTTCTTTTTCTTTTTTAATATGCCTGATCTAAAGTGAATTGGCGACTTGAGGAAATACCTCAAGTAACTCATTCAAAACATGACACGTATGAACGTTTTAAAAATAAAATCGAGAAATTCATTTATAATAATAAAGTTATTGAATATTCCAAAATCCTACCTAACTTGTGATGTGGTTCAATTAGAATGGGCAAAAAGGATTCTTTGAAGTTGTAATAGATTTTCATTATTAACTCTATAGCTAATACTATAAGTCTATAATATTTTTCACTCTTATAATTGTTAGCCTTAAGTGTTAGAGTGTCTTGTGCTAATACCCCCCTTAGCCTTAGTGTATTCCACGATGAAAAGTAATTGAGTGCAACAATGAGTGAAGGATTAAATAGAGAAGCTTTACTCCAACACTTAAACAGTAAATTACTTTTTTTGCTAAGATACGAATAATATTACTTAATATGGGTATAGAGATCAAACATTTACCTGCGTGCATAGTCTTATATTACGCATTTTATGTTGCCTTTTGCCTATACCTACTAGCGAACTTATCGATCTTTTCTTTTAATCAATCTCATAAGTGAAATATGCGTTTAATTAACGGTTTTTAAAACGTTTTTACTTTTTATCTTCCGAAGAACTTTCATAAAAATAACAATATAAAAAACCATCAACAAGAACAAAGAAAGCACCAGAACAAAATTTACGTTTTCTTTTTATCTCATTTTTGTTAATCGAAATGTAATCAGAATTAAGAACAAACCCCATATCCTTGACGATTGAGGGAATTATGTTACATTGATGTGACAAAAAAAAAAAGCAGCAAAATTATAAAGCTCTCCGAACAATGATTATTATTAATTTGGCAAAGTGTCAATTTTTACTTTACAAACCAAATTATTTTGCTGTATACTTTTTTGCTCAATAATCAAATACTTAACTTTTTTTTGTGTGTGTGCTCTGAATAACCAAATACTCTACTTGGAAGAAGAAAAAAAATGAAGGCACTGGTGGCCCTAAGACCACACGCACTTGTGGATGTTTGTCTCCAAATAAGTGCTATTCTATAAGTATGCCAGCAAAAACAGCAAATGATGATAAAAAAAAAAAAAAAAATAAATAAATAAATAAGAGAGAGAGAGAGAGAGGGAGAGCGACGTAGAAACAGAGTCGTCGTTTCCCCAACATAGCCAATCTGGTGCCCTGTGGAATACAAGCACAAGAAGAAAATACCATAAATAAAAGTAGGCCCAATTTTAGACGCAAACTACCATGTGAGCTGGGGGGTGGGGAACACGCTCGCATGAGCACGGCCAATGCGTTTTGGGGCGGTTAAAACAGAAAAAACGGCAAAAAAGAAAAATTAAATAAATAAAATAAAAGCTAAGGAAAGCAACAAAAACACAAAAAGCGGAGGAAAGAGATGAGAGTACGGGGTGGGATCCACATATTTAAGGTCTTATTCTTGTTTTAATATTATAGTATTTTTTATAAAAATTTAAATTTTATTTTTCTATAACAATATTTTTGTATCATAAACAAGTTTCAAGTTGTGAAACAGACACCTCTGAGTCTTCTGATAAGCAAATTTTACGCGGGAGACAGCTGTATAGAACTCCCGATATTACATAGTACACGCACTCTCACGTGCCACGCGCACCCATCCTACACCTAACCCTGTCCTTTACCCGTACTCCTCACGTGAATCAGCCACCGCACGAGTGCATCTCACGTGAGGACCGGAAGCGGAAAGTTCATCTTCAATGTTTTGTTAATTTTTAAGTTTTTTAAACATTTTATTTGCTTTAGTTGGGAAAATAAATTTCTTTAATTTCAAATTTCATTAAAAACCAGGGTATTTAAGTATGGACTACAAATTTTTGAAGGATAAAAAATTAAAAACAAATTCCGTAGATAGAAATAGAATCCATTACTATCTGAATTCTTCCCTTTTTATTTCAACAAATAAAGTGCATGTTCTTTTGTCTAAAAAACTCAATAAAAGATAGCTCGAGTTTCAATTTTATTCAAGTTTACGTTCTTTTAAGTTTTAACTTTATTTAAGTTATAACTTCAACTTAAATTATAACTCAAAAACTACACTCAAATTACACTCCAAAAAAACAAAATACATAAATTATTTTTTGTTTGTTATATGTTTAATTTCTCATGTTCATCTAAACATGGCATTCAATTACTTGTTAGCCCTTATAGTTTTTTGTTAAAAACAAAAAGGCATTCATCGACATTAAAATGGACGACGTCTTCATAATGGACGATGTCTTCATAATTTTTCTATTTATTATTTCATACCGTTTTCAAGAAAAAAGAGTAAGATAGTTATTTTTCAAGATGATATTGATTGAATAACAATTAATTAAGAGTGGACGTTTAATTTATAGATTCAGAATTGTGATTCAGAATCATTCTCGATTTACATGTTTTTTGTGAGAAAAAATACTGTAACGAGCCACAAATCATAATTTGAATGGGGGAACAATCACTAAAAAAATGTTACTCTGTATACATGACCAATTTTACCATTATAGCCATCCCAAGATAGCAATCATGCGCATTATAAAGGGCATGTTCTTTTGTCTACAAAATTTTAAAAAAGACAACTCGAATTTCAATTTTATTTAAGTTTATGTTCTTTTAAGTTTCAACTTTATTCAATTTCACTCAACTTTATTCAAGTTACAACTTCAACTCGAGTTATAACTCAAATTCAACTCAAAAACTATACTCAAATTACACTCTAAAAGAACAACCTAAAAGGACTATAAATTTTTACTCCAAACACAGTAGTTTCGCGGGGGGGGGGACAAT